ATAAATAGGCCTTTTGTGTACATAGAAAAAGAACTTGGAGTTCAGCTCATGAAAAATGGGGGCAAAAACAAAAGTGGTGCGTTTTTGATCAGTAATACAGTAATAGAAGCACAACTCAACCTTTTGGATGCGTGAGAACAAACCTCATTGGTTCTTGCAGGAGCTCAAACGTACTGCGTAACACAAGAATGAGCCATAAAGTTCATTTTCCCACAAATTTTTAAAACACAGCGTTCAGAGAGACACGGCATAACAGTCAAAGATGTCAAGGCTTACATATAAGTGTAGGTAATTAGAAAGCACAATAACAATGTGCCAATAGCCAACATGAAATAAATATTTAATAAAAATATTATATTATATTTTTTTTAAATTATATTAAAAATATAAATATAATATTATATTTTTTTTAAATTATATTAAAAATATAAATATAATATTTTTTTAAATTATGTAAAAATCTAAAAGTTTCAAGCATATATATGGCTGAATTTTTTTTTTTTTTTTTTTTTTAGATTATAGGTTAAAGGCCTCATGGGGGTAAAATGCACTTTTTTGATTGTTTCTCTCTTTCTTTCTCCCACAACACTCATTAACAACAACCACCACCACAACACTTTCCTGAACTTCTTACTGGAACTAAAAAAGAAGGAACATATTTTGCCTGTTCTGGCTTCACTGGTTGCCGGTCAAATACCGTGATAGATTTAAGGTTTTATATAAGTAGTTAACAATACATTACAGATCTTCTTCTCCACGGGAAATGTTCTAGGCCCTTAAGGTCTTCAAACAGGTTGATGTTGACTGTGCCACGGTCTGGTTTGAAGTTTAAACCTTTACTAAACGTGCCTTTACTGTTGCTGCTCCCTGCCTGTGGAAGGATTTGCCGGGACACGCTGTCTTGATGTTGATAGTTTTAAAACCTCACTGAATTTTTTTTTTCTCTGACATTTTGATCAATGTAGTCTTATTAAATTTAGTTTTTTTTTGTCAGTTTATATACAGTATTTTCTAATTTTGTTATATTGTACAGAACTTTGGTCTGCAGTGGCTGATTTAAACGTGCTTTAGAAGTAAAAGTGCCTTATGTGCAATAACAATAGGAGGAAGTTGAAAGTTAATCATTTTAAAACATTACAAATGTGAAAAATGTACATAGGTTATGAGAGATTATACTATAATAAAGGTGTTTTAAGACAAAATGCTTGTTTATGAGTTTGTTTATGCAGGTTTGTGATTTGCAGTTTTGTATTAGGTGATTAAATCAATAGTTTTTTTGTATGTGTGTATTTTGGAGGACACCCAAAACACTGAGCTTGCAAAGGAGGGAAAAGTAGAATGTCTATACTGCAATTAATTGTTTCCCTGAGTGGGGAGAATGGATTTTGCGCTTCCAAATTGACTGTTCCAATTACAATAATGATTCACATGTGAAGTATTCCTGAACTAAAACAAGCATCAATATGCAGCTTGTTCACTAAAAGTAGAATGATACAGAAGTTGTGTAAAATACTTGAGATATTATGAAATGCTTAAACTAATTAGATAAAATATAGATCTTTCTGCTATTTCATCACTACAGCTCCATCTAATGACCTTTCACCTCTCACAGCCATACTTAATTTTTAATCAAAACTATCTTGTTTATTTTCACACATATTGTGTTGCTTACAGTTATTTGTATATAACTTATATACAATAAAATATATTTTGAATCGTCATGTACTTTGGAACCATGACACATTTTTCTGAGAGGCGGAGATAAGTACTGTCTCAAAATCTCATAAGTATGATGCTTACACAGCAAATTCCCCAGTGTTAAATTTATACTGAGAGTGTGAATTATATAAACTCTGAGCAGAGTGTTAAATGAACTCTTAAGCAGTGTAATTGAGTGATGATTGAGCATTATTGAAGACACATAACAAGCAGAACCATTATTAAGTCACCATTATGACGATCAGTGTTTGCTTTCGTTGGGCTCTTGACCCTTAAATCATTAACTTTAAGCTGATGTACCTGAGTTATAACAGCCAGATGAACAAATAGAAAAGGTGACACCATCATGTGTCTCCATCATGAGCCCTCAATTAATCACTCTGCTCAGAGTTTGTATAATTCACACTTTCAGTGTTAATTTAACACTGGATTTTACTAAAAAAACATAATGACCACACAGTGGCCAATGGCCATCATTAGTTCTCAGGTTTCTTGATTGTTTTGATCATTCCTTTTGGATGTTTGGTTTAGTTACATGTTCACAGGGAAATAATAATTCCCTTTGGTGTGTCTGCCATCTCTTTCTCAGCATGTTGCTCATCTCTCACGGTTGTGAACTGCGAATGTTTAAAGGTTCTGCCTTAGTTCAAGGAGCTGGAAAATTGATGTCAAACTTTCAATGTGCAGCGAGATTTGAAATGATGATAAAGGAAAGAATAAGCAGAAAATTTGAGAGGAAAACCAATCCTGCTGTGATGTTCCTGAAGCTATAATCAGTGGTGGAATGTAACGAAGTACAAATACTTCGTTACTTTACTTAAGTACATTTTTCACGTTACGTACTTAAGTAGAATAAATAGTGCATACTTTTTACTTTTAGGCCTACTTCGTTACATTTTGCAGCAATTATTATACTTTCTACTCCACTACATTTCTACAACTTCTGTTACATTTTCATTACATTTTCTGATCAGTTTTTCCCCTGCCAAAACGTAATCTGACCATCCGTTCGTTGCACGTTTGTCTCACCAGTGACGTTTGGTTGCCATAGATACATAAACTAAATGCGTCTCGCACGCAGTGTGTTTATCGTGCAATTTATACGCGAAAATTTGTTTTTACATGGATAGGAAACACACCGTGTGTAATATACGTTTGGTTAGGATTATGGCAAGCCAAGAGGTTCAGAATTACACCATAAATTAACTGTTTACTGCCAAACATAGTTATTAACATATAGTAACCGGATAAGCATGGTTTATATTGCCTAATTGCAAGCTTGTTTCAGAAATGGTGGCAACAATTTTTTTCCCATCATTATTGAACATCATTATAGGAGTATTAGGTTGAATGAGTTAGAATTAAATGTTTTATTAATCATTAGAAAATAGTCATTAAGAGAATCAATTGTTATGCAAGTACTTTTACCTTTAATACTTAAAGTACATTTAAAATCAGGTACTTTTTACTTAAGTATTGTCATTGTGTTACTTACTTTTACTAAAGTAAATATTTATCTGGTTATTTGTACTTTTACTTAAGTACTGAGATTCAGTACTTCCTCCACTGGCTATAATGCTGATTTTCACAACCCTTTCATCCACACTCTTAATGTAAAGCAAGACAGCCCTGGTGAATAGGGTAAAACAAGTAACTATTTCACCATACTCCTCTAGTTGATTGATTACATGAATAATTGAAATCATTATTTGTATTACATGTTTTCTGAAATGTTGTTTAACTATGCAAATGAAGCATTATTTAATTGAATATGTACTCATTTGAATAAATTTCTAGAACAAAAACATCTAAACACTGGATGAAGCCAGGATAAAAAAAAATCTTGTTTAATTTTTTGACATTTTTGTCAGGTTTTTACTGAGGGGATTTTGGATGTCACTTCTTATCACTTATCAGAAAATACTGTCAACAGACAGAAAGAAAGAAAAATGTATAAAATCAGGCAAATTATATGTGAATAAACCCCTCTGTTTGGTGTATGTAAGTGGAGATTTCTGAGCAGGAGAAAAAACTCATCTTGAGAAAACAGAATCCTTATTGAAATCTACAGACACAAATAGATAAAGTGCTATAAAAGATACAC